GGCATTTCCTGACAAATTGAGCGTAAAGGATTTATTTGATTTTTATAGAATTTTTTAGCAGGAGTTTTGTTCGGCTAAATTTTGAAATTTTTAAATTCCAGCAAAAATGGCCGAACAAAACTCCTGATAAAAAATTCTATAAAAATCAAATAAATCCGTTACGCTCAAAATATGTCAGGAAATGCCCAAACACAACTCCTGTTAAAAGCGGAACTCAAAATTCCAATTTTAAGCGGTCCATCAAGGAAGTTACATTTTGGCACACCCTAATATACATATATATAATACTCATAAATATATGAAAAATTGATGTGAGTACTCAAATGAAAGGTCTTGATGAGTGTAAAATTGAGATAAGATTATATCTTTGAAAATGTCAATATAGTTCACGAGATACAAGGTAATTTCTTAATTATGTATCTAGAGATACATTTTCGAATGCAGCCTAAATACTTATACAATCATAAATTGACTATTGGTGAAAATGATATGAAACCATGAAAAGGATTTTATCATATAAATACACTGGCCACAAAATTTTGCTTATTCTCTTAATAATATAGATTTACTAACTAAATATCAAAGATAATAATTAAAAAATAAAATTGTAATTTAAAATCTCACAAATATTTTAGTTAAAGCGTTTGAGGTATTTATTTTTTTTATTTTATTTAAAATTTCCATTATTTTCCCTTTATCTCTTTTTTCTTGGGTTTGAGCTTCCGCTCGGTGTATAACAGAGAGATGCATGGTTTTGTTCTCGTGTCGATTTTCCACGCGACCTCTTTATCGATCTATAAACTTTTAAAAAGCGCTGAATGTACTGCCGGTACGGGAACATAAAAGCCGAACGGAAGTGTTGATAGTGAGTTGAGGCTTTACAGATTATCTCTTACACTCAAAAGTACTTTTTCAGCTCTTGACAACTATTTGATGACTAAGACTCGCGACTTAGAACTTTTATTCTTAATTGTGACTTGTCGGGATTTATGTTAGCGATAGATATATTTCTCCAACTAACTGGCTCGGTACTTACTCTCATTTCTTCCGAGAGTGATGCCGCCGTTAGTCAGCCTGAAAACTGGGCTTGATCGCGTGCAAATGTGCCTCTCGCGTGAGCCCATATTTTATTTCCCCGGTCACTGGCACGGAATTGATGTATTTCGATATCAAATATTATAATAACGATACGTATTTCATTATTTTCATTTCTCGGCTTTAAGCTTTCGATAACAGTTAATTAAATATTTTAATTTACAATAATAATAATTATTATTATTAATTCTCTTCATGCAAATATTTAATGTTCAACCTCTTAATGTTCTGTTGATCTCAAATTTTTATTACTTATTCTCATTATATATTCATTTACTTCCACAAAACACTGTTGAATTAAATGCTCGGTGTGCTGAAAGTAATTCGGTGTGAAAGTCTCACTAAATACGCTGTTTTATTTTATTTTACTTGGTATAGGGAAAATATTTAATATCAGCCATCAGGAATTAATATAATTACACTTAATACTATTTTTTTTTCAATTTAAAATCAGAATGTTGATGCAAACAACTTTTAATCATTTATTTTTGTATTAAAAATTAACATTTTTTAAAATTTATTACTCTTACAGTGAATTTATAATAATAAAAAAAATATTTAGGAATCTATTTTTTTAATCAAAAAATTTTTCATTTTGTTTTTAACTAAAAAAAAAATTTATTCATCGGAAAATCGACATTTTAAAAAATGATTTTTTACAAATTAAAAAAAAAATTTAATTTCAAATTTTAACTATTTTAACATCCAAGCCCTAAAATTAATTACAACTCATAACATATTAATTAAGTAGAAAAAAAAAAAAACACTCTAACGGAATTTAAAAAGTTAAAATTCCCCCCGGATGTTCGTTTATTATCTTTTTACATTATGTACAGTTTTAACTCACCCGAGTGAAGTAAAGTGTCTTTACTTGGCACAGGTAATTATCGCCGTAGTTTGAATGATTAACAAGTTAGCTCTCTATTTAAGCACTCCTCTACATTTCAGATATAATAAAATTTAATTTAACAGAATATAAATGTAATTTCATCGTCTCTAATTATTTTATCAGTATAGTAGTAGCCAATTGGTATATATGTATCTACATAATATGAGCTCAAGTATTACGGCATTAATTTAATTAATAGCTGTACAGAGTACATGCTGCAGGGGAATCATAATTCACAACGATCAAAGTGAATAAAATAAATCTCGGGTGATTGACTGAGGCAATAAATAAATTCCTGGAATCAGTCTTGTACTTGATATTTATTAGCGGGCTGATAAATTTTTTCGCGGCTCGCCAGTTAACTTTGGGCGGAATTTGTCGCAACTTGGAACTAGTTTGACTAATTTGCCGGCGTCCAATTAGAGAAACTAACCAGCTCAGCGTGAGGCACTTGGAGGCACAACTAAACCGTGAAGTAGACACTGAAAGAGTAACACACTCGTTATAGTTATGTCAACTGCTGCCGGTTGCATCAACTTCAAGCTCCAAGCTTTGCTTCAACTTTAGCTCAGCTTTGGTACATTCTTTTTATATTCATATATTTTACATATTCTATTCCACGAAACGACATATTTTTATTTGTATTTTATGTCTGTTGATACATTTACGCTCAGTGTCTCAAATTTATTTTTTGTTATTACAACCCGGGTAAAAGTGATAATTTTAAAGAGTAAACATTAAGCTTGCTGTTGGTATTAAGTTTTGTTTAAGAGATATTCAGTTTAGATAGTGTCACACGTCGAGTATGACATGTGTCTGTAGTCTGTGTAGTATTTTATATTAAAGTTAAATAGAATATCATGTGTGGGTGTATAAGTAGACAGAGGAGAGAAGAAAGACTAGACTACTGTACTACACATACTTTGCTTGACAGACAAAATATTTCTGTAGATGTGGATGAGCTGAATTTCTGCGGACGTTGAATATTTCGAGACAAAAAATATCTCTGAATAATGCAAATGTTCTAGAGAAATGAAAATACCGGAGATAAATTAAAATATCTTCAAATTATTTACATTTTTTTTAATGGATCATTTGAATATTTTTTACTGATCTTTAATATTTATTTTATAATGATAGTGTTTTATTATCTGTTGATAATAAATTCGTTTATGTAGAATTTAATTTTATCAAGTATAAGCTATTATTTTTTTTATTTTTAATAAAATTTTTTTACTATTTGTTTAATATTTTTAAAATTTTCATAATTTATATTATTTGTAGGATTAAAAAAAAAAAAATATAAATCTTCAGCAATTTTTTTTATCTATTCGAATTCCAGAATTTAAAAAATAGTCTAAATAAAATTTGAGCCCTTACTTTTTATTCAAGTGTTTAAATAAATATTTTCCAACAAAAAAATACTTACTAAACTTTAATGAACTATTTATCGACTGTTAATAATTTTTATTTAACAAATAATTGATGAACTATCAAAGATACATTGATTGATGTTATAAAATAATCTATCACCAATAAATAAAGCTTATCAAATTCTATCAGCGCACTAATTCATCCCGCGTTTATTATAAAAATGTTCCAAATTAATGGATTAGTTCTTCGACTTTTAATCCTATAAGTACTTTGAAAACTTATTCATAAAAATAACATAATTCAAAAGTTGTCAACTATTCTCGAGTTAAATTAAAACAATTAAAATTAATAAAATATGCAAGTAGCCTCGAAGTAATGAGACACAAAAGTTAGCAAACAGCGTAGTAGCCCATAAATTCTCGTGAAAATAGTCTCGAGTGTTCAAAAAGCCCTCAAAGGAAGCTTATAAGAAAGTTTGCCGTAAATGTCTCTGTCTCTCTTGATCAATGCGAGAAGAAACTCTAAAACTACCCTGATAGTTGTGCAGTTATATAACTGTATCACATCCGAACGGAAAGACGCAAGTATCGACCCCTCATAATCTCATCTCTGTCTGCAGCGTTTAGTTGCTGATAGTTACCCAACACCACACACACACACACAC